AACACATACACACAGACACACTAAAGGGAATGAGAAGAGGAGGAGGTGGATGATAATTTGCAGTCAAGAGACGTCCTAGAGTTGCTGTGTGCTTTCAAGTTGTTTCCATCTTATGGCTACCTTTAGGCCAACCTATCATGGGGTTTTCTTGTCCGGATTTGTTCAGAAGAGATTTGCCATTGCCTCCTGAGGCTGAGAGCGTGTGACTCATCCAAGGCCACCCAGTGGGTTTCCATGGCTGAGTGTGTGAATGAGTAGGCTGTTGACTTACACAAGAGATTAAACTCAAGCCCCTCACCCCTTGCACACACAGTACAAGTGACTTACTTCTTGTTGTATGTCTTCAAATAATTTCTGACTTATTGGGACCCTACAGGGAAACCTAAAACCATTGTGGCGTCGTGGTTTGAGTGTTGGTCTATGACTCTGGAGACCAAGGTTCAATTCCTGGCTCTGTCATATAAACCCACAGAGTTACACTCTCTCAGCCTCAGAGGATGGCAATGGCAAACTCCCTGTGAACAAATCCTGCCAAGGGTCACCATGAGTTGGAAATGAGTTGAAGGCACACAACTACTATAGGACATCCCTTGACTACAAATTATTATGGGCCTCCTCCTCTTCTCACTCTCTTTAGTGCCTTCAAGTCACCTGTCCATTCAATCCCATGGATTTCACACATTCTCAGCCTCAGAGGATGGCAAGGGCAAACCCCCTCTGGAGAAATTGGCCAAGAAAACTCCACGATGAGTCCTTTTTCTTGTTGTTGTTGTGTGCCTTCAAGACCTTTACTTATGGGGACCCTCGTTGTTGTTGTTGTTAGCTGTCAAGTCAGTTCCAACTCCTGGTGACCCTGTGGATAAGATATCTCCAAGAATCCCTATCTTCTACTCCCTTGCCCAGATCCTATAAGCCTTTCCCCATAACCCCTCTGATTGAGGCTATCCATTTGGTTTGTGGTCTTCCTCTCTTTCTTCTACCCTCTACCTTTCCTAGCATTATTGTTTTTTCTAGTGATCCGTGCCTTCTCATTATGTGGCCAAAGTACGATAGTTTTAACTTGATCATCTTTGATTCCAAGGAGAGCCCTGCTTTATCTTCTTGGCTATCCATGATATCCTAAGTACACTTCTCCAGCAACACATTTCAAATGAGTTGATTTTCTTTCTGTCTGCTTCCTTCACTATCCAGCTCTCTCATCCGTACATGGTAATTGGGAATGCAATGCCTTGTATGATTCTAACTTTTGTGCTGAGTTATATATCTTTGCATTTTAGAATCTTTTCTAGTTCTTTCATAGCCACCCCCCATTCTTAATCTTCTTCTGATTTCCAGATTGGAGTCCCCATTTCTATCAATGTTTGATCCCAGGAATGGAAATTCTTTTTACTATTTCTATTTTTTCATTGTCTAGGTTGAACTTGTGAAGGTCCTCGGCGGTCATTATTTTGTTTTCTTTATGTTCAACATTAAGCCTGCCTTTGCACTTTCTTCTTTGACCTTCTTTAGTAGGTGTTCCAATTCCTGAATAGACTCATTCCCACTTGCATTTAAACCGGTTTGCAATTCGCCTTCGCTCTGTGTCGGTGAACCAGTTCCAAAAAGTCTGTCGTTCCCACTATAAAAGCGGATCTTTTCATTATTCCCTTGTAACCAACTGCTTCTTTTTCGGCATGACTGTCGTTCCCACTAGTTTGCGCCGCTTCAAAATGCATGACAATCATCTATGTGTCATTGGTGATGCAAGTGGCAACATAGTGAAGAAAGAGCCA